CCTCACTCCCAAAGTTGGGTAAGGGTGGCAGCTCCAAAATGCCTAAGTCCTCCCTTGCTCTTGTGTGATGCTGGGTTTGGGGGTCTTGTAGGACCTCCTTTATCCAGTGGCTTAGCATGTTGCTTGGCAGTGCAGGTGGTGGGACACAGTCCTCCGGTGGACCTGATCTTGGTGGTGGCCTCTCTCTTACTTAAGGTCACCCAAGGGCAGAGAAGAGAGGGCCAAGACATGGGATAGAGAAGTTCCTCAGAGAAGGGGAGAGAGGTGGCTTTGGGCCATTTGGCTCTGTCTTGCTTTTGCCCTAACAATCCCTCTTCTCTCCTCCAGCCAACAGAAGGAAGCAAAGTGAACTAAGGTAAGACTGCTGGAAATCAGAAATTATATTTAACATCATGAACCATGACACAAAATCTCCAGTTACAAATAATACCGCTCTTCTATGAGAAGAAAGAAAATATTCCTGGCAGGGCTTGGTTCACGCAAACTTGGGCTGTCCCCTGTCTGCAACACCTTGTACTTCCCCTGAACCGCAACACACTCAAATAACCTTCATCATGGTTTATGCAATTATGAGAATGAATGAGCTATGGGATGGAACCATCCCAAATCACAGCTCCTAGGGGTCAATTAATTCTCCAATAACTCATTTTAGCTACGCTAACAAAAAGCCAAGAACGCCAGCAAGTCCCCAAGCACAACGACAGAGTTTGGGACTCTGCCAGTTGCTAAGATAACAAGGTCCAGCTGGTGCTTAGATAACCCCAAGGCCAGTAAGAAATGTCCTGTGGCTCTTCACAAGGGGAAAACAGTGCAATGAAGACCACAAGAACCTTCTCCACACAGCAGGCACTTGTCAGGCTGTCCTGAATAAAGCTGGTAAGACGATGCCTGCTGGGGTTGCTCTGAATGATTACAGCACCTGAAGACAAAATTTGTCCCTCTAAGACCTTAATTTTAGCCTCCTGCTGCTAGATTTAACTGTAACCCAGGCTGTGTTATCTAAAGGTGAAATATCTTGTCTAAGCCGAGCATCCAGCCCCAATTTATAGTCAGCAAGAAAGACCGTGACTTTTGTTTGAGGGCTACGGTAGAGACGGATCTTGTCAAGCTTATGTTTTCCCCATTTCACCCCCATTCTCACTTTCCGCACATCCATGGTGCTCCTCAGCTGAGGTTATTAAAGCACCTTGGCTGTACGAGGAAGGTTGGTGACAGCAGTCTTACAGTGGCAGGAGAGGACTGGGATGGGGAGAAGTAGCAGTGAAGATGTGCATTCACTTGGCCATGTGACGGAGAAATTTGTTTTTACTGTAATGCTGGGTGTACCCTTTGTAATAAAGATGTGCTGCTAAATGATGGGGAAGGGACTGTGCAAATGGAGATAAGGGTTTGGGCAGAGACCTGGCAGCAGCAGACAGATTATTGACTGCTTTTTGAACATAGCCTAGGTAGAGCAGTCCACAGTATCCAAAAATCTCTGGAGGCAACATCAACCCACAGCAGGCATCACTGGGTATCTGTTCAAATGTAGTCTGCCCCAAACAGATTCATTTTGCACCTTTTGGTATATTTTCCACAATTTTAAGAAGCAGCTCAGCTCAGCCATGTATTACAGACCTATCATGAGGGTGTATAAAAAAGAAGGACTAGAACAGGGTTAAAATACAGGAGGATGAAGCAGAAATAACTTTCCTGGGCAATGCACTGGACCCCGCCTTGAATTCTCACTGCTTTTTTCTCATCCCTCTTTTAAAATCACCCAAACCCATTCGGGTCCTGCCTGACCCTATACTTCCCAGACCCCTAATTAAAATACAGTCAGCTCCAAAGGGAATAAACCAAGCAGCAAAGCAGTTGGTTTATTTTGTGCAAGGGTGGTATCGGCAGAGGGTGCTCCTCGCATGCACTGTGGAGGCGCAGAGCCTGCACACTCCCACCTGCCAGACGCCTGCTGCAGCAAAGAAAACAGATGATCATCCCAATTTCTCTGTGCTTCCTCATCTGCAAACATGCCCAGGCATCTCTTAAAGGCAGCGTTTAAAGCCACTTCCTAAAATAAAAGAGCAGACAGCTCTTACTGCCTTCAGACACTGGTGCTTGGCCGTGCTAAGTTTGCTGCTGGGATCTGGGAGGATTAGGAGCCACATTTAATCTTCCCAGAATGACTAATTCTTCAGGGCTGAACAAACTCAATTTACACACAAATACGGCACGGCGTGCTGGGTGCCCACCCGGTCTGTGTCCCCAAATCCCACTCGCTGTTCTGGCTGGGGCTTTGGGCAAGTGAGAGGTCTATGGGGGCATCCAGCTGTGCATATTCAGACCAAAAGCTCAGCTTAGTTCATGATGAGAGCAGCGTACAGGATGGTTAAAGCAATATTTACAACGCTTAACTTCCACTCTGCTAGGAAACAAATCAGCTCGTGCTCGGCAGTACGAAATGAAACGCCTTCCATGCAAAGAAGCAAATGTATTTGGGGTTTGTGGGGGGTTTTAGGTAGGAAAAAAGCTGGCAGGTGGGGGATATAAAACCAGGAGTGACATGAGGAGTTGGGACAGGATTAGCATGGACTAACGAGGGAGTTTCTAGTGAAAGGAGCAGGGAGGTCTTCACACTGTGTGGTTCACCTGGGGAGCTCCTTGCTGTGGGATGCCAAGTGTTTTTCCGTGCTCTTGTAGTGACAAACGGTAGCAGATCATTCAGCAAGGGCTGCTAAATCCTATATTCTGCCGTAGAAAGCCCTTGAGCAAACAAAGTATGGAAGACTGAGAAAATGTTTGGGGGAAATAGTATGATGTGATTGCTTGGTTATAATCCACTTTTTATTATATTTTTTGTTTCCTGCTGTCCTTTTGTGGAGCTCCCCCTGACTTCTCCCAGACCAAGGGGGAGAAAGGCTCCACCAACCCCCCCCCCCGCCTTCACCCAGCCAAACCCAGTAGCCGTGCTCCCTCTACTGGTCTTACTGGTCCTCCTGCCTGGCAGTGGCACCCGGGGAAGGAAGGACAGACAGGCGATGCAGTGTGGCCTTCAGGAGGGGGTTTCCATGTCCTTTCAAAGGGACAGGAGAAGAGTTGTCGCTGGGCTGAGCTGGCAGCTAAGTTCTGGCAGAGAGGTTGGTCTGACCCTGCCCAAGCAGCGGCTTACGGCCACAGATAATGTACAGGATATATATTGCACATGATCATTACGGCCACATAAATAGCTCATAGCGATTCTAGTATTTTCTAAGGCAACCTTGAGAATAATTTATTAGGCACCTACTTGGTGTTTGCTATTAAACGTCATAAAATATTTCCTGTCCCTTATGGTAAAACTCACCACAAGCTTTCCTGGGATGAGTTCCCATTCCTCCCCAGGAGATTATGATATACCTTTTGGGGACCTTCCTTTGAAGCTCATCCAGAAGGCCTTAAATCGCAAGTTAAGCTCTGAGATTAGCCATAAAATAACTCACTGCAGGTCCTCATCATCACTTTCTGTCATGCCTTTGAGCAAAGAAACTCAATGGCAGTAGGACACATGCGAGGTAGAGTTACTCTGATGGATGGTCTTGTAAAGAGGCAGCCTGGAGACGCAGTTCACCCAGCCGAGACATGGGAAGTTTGGCTAGCATATGCCAGCTTCCAGCACAAAATTAGGTGGATTTATTTGAATCGTCCATAGCAGTGGAAAGGGAGGGTGGTGGTCTGGTTCAACCCAGCACATCTATTTCTACCAGTTGCACCCAGGTCCTCTGAGAGGCAATCCCATCTTGCCCAGTGCTGTATTCCACTAACCAGACACGGTCACAGACAACACTGTCCTTTGCTCCTTCACCTTCATCAACCCAAAAGGCATATTGGGGATGAGATAAAAGTTGAAATGAGAGGAGGGGAAATCAGGAGAAATAAAAAAAGCTCTAGTTTTCTTGGTGCAACATTTGCTTCTGGAGTACCCTGGAGGTGGTGCCTTTATATGCAGACCTAAGTATATCCATGGTGTTGCTCTACTGCACTAATGCAGTTTGCCTTGATATCCAGTGATGTTTCCACTCTGATGAAAAGGAGCAACGTTTGCTGGGACACACTGTCTGTGTAACCAGGTTGTGGCTTGGCAAAGCCCCTGTCCTACCTGCAGCACTAGGGTCAATATTGTACTGAGTTGTGGCCTGCAAAAGGGGATGATGTGCCAACAGAAGACATACTTTAGGCACCATCATTTTACCTGGCCTGCAGCACCCAGCTCCTGACTCCGGGCTATCTCTTAACCAGCTGTGTGCATCCCATCTGAGTTTCCTCAACAGGCAATGTTTCATTAAAGGAATTATCTTACAAACTCCCATAGCTTGGTCTACCCTCGAATCTATCTCCCTTGCATGGCCCGTGAACTCTTCTGCTGCATTGCTCAGATTTACACCAACTTGCGATGGCTCTAAGGCAGGACTTCGTGCTGGTCCATGCATTCATGCCATGCCAAGGGGATACCAGATAAAGAGTAAGGGCAAAGACCAGCCACATGCATTAAATTAAATCAGGAAATGTCACAGAACTCCCTCTCAAGGGAACAGCAACTCTGTGAGACTGCCCAGTGCACACCCAGCTTTACCCATCCAGCCTCTTCCCCAGCAGAAGGGGATGCTGACCTTGCAGGGCACCAAGACCTCTTAAATTTTGGTCTAAACTTGGCACTGTGTCCACTGGCTAAATGCTGAGCAACCTGAAGAGCAAGAGTGTTGCAATGTAAACACAGAAAACAGGCAAGGGGAGATTTCCTTCGCTGCTGGAATGCAGGGAGGTTAAATGGGTGTGTAAAAGGCAGATGATTAGATGCCGTTGTGAAAATGGTGGTCTACATTTTTTCCGGGTCTTGCAGTAATCTGGGAGCTGGGAAGACAATCCTTCAACACTGACCTCCAAGCACCCCATCCACAAGTGCTGACCCCAGACCCGCTTCCAAACACCAAGGACAAAGTTGGTCCCTGAATCTCCCAAGAGCCGATGGGATCGATGGCACTTACCGTGATGGGGAAATAGTCCCTCATGTACCTCCAGACGATGCAGTTCCGGATGGAGTGGATCCGCCTCCCACCCTTGCTGGGTTTTTCCCTGTCTATGAACCACCACGCAGCATAGAGGGCACTGACCAGCCAAAAACGTGTGAAGAAGAGGGCGATGAAGGCAACTATGCAGCACTGTGCTGAGAGAAAAGCCAGCAGTGAGTTGGCGGTTGGGTTAGGTGGACTTTAGGAGAGGAATGATTCACTTGAAGGGACTCTGGTCCTGGGATGGAGCCCAAACCTTCACTGGGCTTGCTGCTGAATTACTTTATCAGTGTGAAGGCACCTTTGATGCAGAAGTGGTTTCTTTCCTATCTGCCCCAGGAACCTGGAGAGGAACCAAGGACCATCCCTGCAGCAACCAGCTATTTCTCCAAAGGCCACCGTGTCCCCCTCTTCCCACAAGACTGGTGGACCTCACCGCATCCAGAGGGTCCTCGTGGATCAGATCTCTACCCCTTTGCTTTCTAGCTTTTTCTCTGGAGTCAGTCTGATCTCTGCAACGATAATGCCCGTGTTTTACCCCAAAACTCCTCTTAATACCCCCTGATGGGACCTGGCATTTTGCAGTGGCAGCAAAGCGGGGCACTATGCCCTGTCTGTACAGTCCCCAATAGCTTTGTTCTGAGCTATCAATTCCCCATTTTAACTGTGTCCTTGATTTTTAATTTTTTATCTTCCCATATATAAGATTTTGCTCTTTATTGAGTTTTTTCTTATTGATTTTGGACCTTTTCCTCCACTTCTCGGGTTCATTCTCAACTCTAATCCTGGCTTCTAGAGGATTTTCAGTCCTTTCAACTCGGTGTCATCACAGATTTTATAAGAATGCTCTATTTCATTCCCTAAGACATTAATGACTTGGGACTTTCCCAAGTCATTAAAGACTTTTCTGAGCTGCTTCCAGTCAGTGCTCAGCTTTGCCCTCTACCTCCCACCTCCCTCATGCCCTGTGTTTTGGCACAGAAACAAGAGAAGAAAAGTCTGTGTGTGAACAAGCATCACTTGGTACATCAAATCCCACCCAAGCCCAACACTGTCTTTCTGCAGTGACTGGGAAGCACTGATGGCCACCAACCTGGCACGTGGCAAAGCAGATGCCCTAAAAAGTCACTGGAAGGACCTGTGTCCTCTCCGTCTGTCCCTCTGGAAGCCTTGCTTTTGTCTGGGAAGCTCAAAAAGGCCCCATACATCCAAGCCCTTTGCTTTCCCCAGCTCATGGGTTACATCATGTGTGGTGGGTTATATATTTTGTCCTTCCCTGGGTCTTCATCACAAATCCAGCACCCAGGGCTGAAGGACGTGAGGATGGACTGTTCAGCTTCAGCTGTGAGATAAATACACCCATGCCCTCATCCTCCGAGACTTGGATTTTCATCTTTGGGAGTCACCTGGCACCTGCCCTCTCCAGCTCGTCTCAGCTAAGGCCTATCAGGGAAGAGGTGTATGATGCTCTCATTTAAGACCTCCTTGTACCTCCTGTTTGCTTTTACTTAAGGATAAATAAGTAGGTCTGGTTTGTAGTCTTTTTTTTTTTGTGATGTTACCCTGATCCTAGAGCTTTGCATGTAAAAACAAATCTCTGCCCCTTCCTAAAACACTGGCATGACGGTACTGATAATTCCTATGGGGGGGGAAAAGCAATAATCTAGCAGGATCCTAAATCTCCTTAAAGCTGAAATAGGATCGTATATCCTCATATAGGTAGAGACACTGCGGCAGGTGCCTGGTTAGGAGCTAATACAGAGCGTGGGGAAACACTGCACCTCTCGGCAGAGCAACAGGTCTAACCTGCAATGCATCCTCCCGGCCAGAACGAACCACTGCTTGTACCTAGTGCCACTCCTCTCAAATGCCACAGTCACAGTCTTTATAACTCTTGAGGAAAACAGCATATAGCATGAAATGAAGCTCCAGGATCCACATGACACATAAACACTGCTTGAGGAACAACGCGGAGGTTGCAATTTTACTGCACCTGGGAGCCAGGTCATTGGGTCTGCTGCAAAACTGTGCAATGCCTAATTCTCTTTCTATCATACTGTGCAAAGCTCACAGTACATTCTGCAAAGTGAAGGAGTTGTTCTGGTTTAAATCAAGGCACTTATCATCCAAGTGAGGCCTTATCTTGCAATTATATAATTATTAATTTCTCCCTCGATTCATTTGCAATTCAACTTTTTTTTTTGCAGGGCAGAATTTGCACACAGTGACCTTCACTCAATCTTAAGATTTTTCTTTTTGTGTGCCTGTAAAATCTTATGGTGTACTGGATGCTGTGGGAAAGGAGCCCATTCCTCTCCCAGAATGGACCCTCAGTCTGAAAGTTCCTGTGGATGGGACCAAAGAGACAGGAAAGTTCCAGAAAATGTACAGTTAAATATTACTGTCTGCATCCAAACCAATCCCAGCCTTTAAGCAGATACTTGGTTATTTATGGGCTGTATTTTGGTGAGAAGGGAGCACTCTGTACCACTGCCTGTTATGCGAGGGGGAGTCACCGTAGCTGCTTGGATCAAGGGAGATTACTGTCCCCCTTCCAACTTTCTTGCAGACATCTGCGTGTCATGTCCTCAAACTCTTCAATGAAAACAAAGCAGAGGCAGTGCGATCCCATCAGTTAGACACCGAGACTTTCTGGACCACCAGTGGCAAGGTATTTGCCATGGAGCTGTATTGCTGCTTCCTGAAAGCCGTGTCAGGTCCCCAGGCTGGGTCCACCACCAGCCCCACTGCCCAGGACTTCGTGCTCTTCAGCCTGGCTCCAGGGTCCCTTCACTGGCACCGACCCAGCCTCTTTTAAGTTTCATAGGTGACTCTTCACATCTTAGAGTCTCCTTGTTCTCCAAGCTGCTGAAAAATAACATCCCACCCAAGAAAGGGCCAAATCCTGCATCCATTTGGGCTAAAGGCTAGAGGGAAGGACTGTGCACCAGGAGCGAAGATCTATTTCTGTTCCTGCAAATCCCGAGTCTTTCCTGAATCCATGCTGGAGGGGAACACACACTCCCCCTCCTCCACGGGTTTTCTCCCAGAGGCAGAGCAGCAAGGACAACCTAAAGCCACCTCCTTGCCCCTTCTGCTTCTTTTCTGCAGGACAGGGCAGAAGGGATGGGTGGCAAACAGGAATATTTGCTTGTTGTGAGACTGTTGCCCATAATCATTGCTTTCTTCCCTTGAGGGGAATCCCAAGAGGAAAATGAGGAACAACGAGGGTTTCTTGCCTGTTCCTTCCTGGACTGGGGACCACTCCAGAGCTGCCCAGTGAAAGCCATATTTCCCTCAGCATCTGCTTTCCTACAAACGACTGTCATTTTCTGGGCTACCTGCCAGGCGAACACTTTAAAAGATATCACAAACATGGCATTAGGCTCTTGGCCAGGGAACCTCAGCAGATATCTCCCTCCTGGGGCCAAACTCCAGCCTATGTGCAACCCGCTGTGCCCACAAAGCAACCCGCAAAGGGCTGTCAGGTCTCAGAAATGCCGCTGGAAGAGATGGCAGTCTGTGTCGTGATGGGGATGGGAGGAAACCTGCAAGTCCCTGGTTCATTAGAAACCCATCTTTGAAGCCCGTCAGCTGCCAGGGCTCTGCAGAGCCGGACAAGCTCTCCAGCTTAGAATCATAGGATGGTTTGGGTTGGAAGGGACCTTAAAGACCATCTAGTTCCAACCCCCAGCTTGGTCAAGCTCTCCATGGGGGCAAGCTCTCTGGTGAGGATGGGGACTGCGGGCACATCAGGCACACAAATGGCAATGCGATGTGACTATAACGTGGCTTTGCCTCGCTGCCTTTACAGTATTCTTGAAGGGAAATGATGGGAGAATTACCTTTAGTTTTCTCACTACAGTATCTACCTTCCACCTTTCTGCCCCCATAACTCCCTTGATTCCCAGCCTCAGGCTGCAATCTCTCAAGCCACGGTTGTACACTCGGGAGGAACAGGCAGATTTGGAGATGTGATTGCAAACAGACATGATCCTCATCTCCTCCCTCTGGACTCTTGGGAGGTAGCCCAACTGCACATGCTAAATTGCTATAAAATTGCTTAAGCCGTTACACAGAGCCCTTTCAAGGCAGACATCACCATGGGCTGCAAGAGGAACTCTAAGGGCACCATGCATGTCTTTGCAATCACATTAATTCAGCTACCTGAAAATGGCCGGATAATCCTAGGCTGGGCTGAGATTAGCTGCTGCACTGTCTACACTGTCATGGAAAGCAAAGAGAGACCCCTTCCAACTAAAACCAAAACCAAAAGGCCCTTGACAAGAAGGAAAGCTCCTTACAGACGCTACATCTTACACTTTCTGTTCAGGCCAGATGCAGGGAGGTTTGTCTGTGGTTGTCCGTGGTGATGTGTGGCTCTGGGTGAAGCAGTTGTAGGATGTTCCTGGACCACAGGGCCACCAAGATCTGCACCCAGCCTGTTGACCAGGGGTGCTTCTGAAGCAGGTCTTCACGATCCAGGACCCAGCACCTCACATCTCCATGGCCATACGGGAGTCAGCAAGAAGACACATCCATGTGGATGCGATGGCTTTCCTGGATCCCCTCACAGGCCAAGTGGTTTCCTGGGCTGGGCTCTCTCAAAGAAGCTCAGAGCAAAAATGAAGTGTTTGGTGGTGGGTATCTTGTGTTAAGTAGTTTTTTTGTGAGCTACAAGTCCCTCCCTGCATGAAAACATGGGTATATCACAGACAAGACACACGTGTATGCCACGGGTTCCAAGTGAGCCACAGGCTACAAAGCACACGGAGGACTTTTCCAGCCAAGTCCAAACAGGGACCATGTCCCATCAAAGTGCTCCTGGGCCCAGCATTGCTGCTAACCCAGCATTTGCTCATTCAGCCTGGAATAGGGAAAACAGCAGCCTGTGGAAAGAGATTTTTGGCATCACAGCAGCCCCAGGGTGAGTCAGATTCCTACTGCAGTTGTCAGGAGGGTTTGGAAGATGCACATTGCTGAGGTCCCCCTGCCAGTGACAGCCTGCACAGAAGCTGTATCCCTCGGCACAGCCAAACCTGGCCAGGCTGTCCCAGGCTGTGGACTACGCTCGGCTGTCAAGGGGACCCGCCTCACGCTGGCACGGCGTGCCCTTTGAGCCAACCCTGCTGATGGAAGGGGTTCAAAGGCTGGGCATTTGCATGGGTTCAGCCCTACGCTAATGCTTCTGCATGGTGTGTCTGGATGGAACCCCGTGCCCAAGTCCCTGGAGACCAGGAATGAGAAGCAGCGGAAAGCGGTTGCAGCAGGTTTGGGCACCAGGCTGCTGATTTTGGTGCCCTGAAGGAGCCTGGCTCCGCTGCATTAGGAGGAGGAACTGGTCAGTACTGGGATCCTGCAGTGGGGAGGCAATGGGGTCCCCACCCCATGCCCTGCTTCCCATCCTTGCGCCATGCACTCTCCTTCCAGCAGCTGAAGCAAACGGCACCTTTTGTCTCCGTGCCCTTCCCAGGAGCATCCTCAAGAAAACCGGCAGCGTGGACGATGCCCGCCTGCTGCGAGAGATGCTGCAGCAAAACTCCCCGCCAGCACCGGGGTCAAGCTGCTGCGCTCATCCAGCACCCCGCAGGGAATGAATGAATGAGCCCCTCGCTCAGTGCTTGGCTTCTCGGGGGATGCATTTGCACAACCATAGCAACAGCTGCCCGCACCCAGTGCTGATGAGCACAACCAGTGCTGCTGAGCAGTGGCTGCTGGGATCTCCAGCCAAAGGGCCGTGCGAATGTCTGGGAGCGGTCAACCGTGTGTTTTCGGGAGCCCTTTTTTTCCGGCAGCAGAAGCAGAAGCCTGTCTCAGAGAGAAAGGAGTAGATGGTGGCCAAATCCTGCCCACGGAAGGTCTGATCTCTGTGCCTGAGGGTTATAACTGAGTGCGGCATGGGGTGTTTGGCGGCTCGTGGGATGAAGGCAAGGGTAGCCTTTAGCATCGAGTTTTTGCTGTTGTTCAACTGGGAGCTTTTGGGTGGGAAGCTCCAGGCTTAAAGAAACTTTGTAAAATTGATCACACCAGCTGGAATGTCTCTATAAGGTTTGGTTATCACCTTTCTAATGCCTTTCTTAAATCATTTTTTAGCTTTCAGAATATATCACCAAAAAAAAAAAAAATCAAAGTAAAACTGTTCCAGGGAAAGAGAGTAATATCTGGAAGGCCAGCCACGGAGGAGGTGTGGGTTTGGGTCTCATCCTCATTTGGAACAAGCTGCATTTCCCTGCAGGAGGCAGAACCTGCATTTCAAGTAGCTCCACTGCAGAGGATTCCTCCCTCCTGAACCATTTTCTGGCTTTCTGCTGGCTCCAGCAGTCATTTCTATCACTGAAAAGTCAAGTGCCAGCTTCCTCCTTATACCAAGAAGGGAAAAACCTAAAGTACAAGTTGTTTTGCTGGAAAACACTGTTAAAGCTAAGTAAACCCCAGCTGCATCCATGCTGGGAATGAGGATGTGTTGTTGTATCCCTTGTTAACATTGCAGCCACATCTCTACTATGTCCCATCCAGGCACCATGGAGGGAAATCTGGGTGCAGGGGCAGAAAGGGAGCTACAGAGCACCCCAGCATGTCCCAGTCCGGCCAGCTGGGTCCAAGGCTGGATGGCTTTTGCCAGATCTCCCCTTCCCTGCGCTGTTAATAAGTCCCATGCCTCCCCCTGCAAGGTGGTCTCCGGTGCGCAGGAGAAGGCTGATCATCACTGGGATCTCTTCTGCACTAGAAGAGCCCCAGGGTTTATAACACAAGCACAGGATAGCACCAAGTGCCCTGCACTCTGCCATGCCATAACTGTGCTTCGTGACAGCTCAGCTGGCTGTGCCACCACTGCCATACCAGGATTTTCCCTTCCATCTGGAGAGGGATGTCCTCCGGCTTGTCCCAGAGCAACCCAAGGGGCCACACTGGTTACACCTCTCCGGTGGAACTCAGCAGAGCCCATTTGCTGACCCAGCGGGTGAACAGCTTTGCCCAGTCATGTCTATGTTGCCAAGTCTCTTCCCTTCCAGTAAAGGGCAACCTCACCCGTCCTGGCTACCAGCAACGGTCCCTGGCCTCTGCCATTGCCCAGACCATGCCAAGATATAGTTTGGCAGAGTGCTGCTTAGCATGGGTCAAACCTATGCCAAGAAGCATGCAAACAGCTACACTATCTGGACCTGCATGGCCCAGTGCTCCAGCCCATCAGATACTGGTGCAGAGGTGGCCATTCAGCCCCAGGTCTGTAGCAGAGTTTGGATGGAGCCATCTCAGAAACTTAAAAAGGCTCTGAAGCACAGCCTGTGCTTTCTTTGGAGGTATTCTTTTGGAGATGCTTGTGTGCCAGGACCCATATATACATAAAGATCTGCTGCCTCTGTGTATTGGGACTAGTCAACAACTATCCTCCCACAATAAAGCAGAAGCTTTACGTAGATCCCATCTGAGATGAAGAATTGGCATGACAATGGCAAACTCTGGGATATCACCTTCCAGCTTGATTCCTGATGGGCTGTAAATCACCCCAGACAGTTTGCACTCTCTGACAACCTGCCTCTGGGTCTCCCATCTCCTAATTTCCCAGTGCATCCTCTCCAAAACTGCATGTCTCTCATTTCCATCAGCACCTGATGCCCTCTACACAGTAGTCAGTTTGTCTGGGTCCCAGTTTGCTAATGTGTCTCTTCCCCAACCTGCTTGGGTTTTCATGGAAAAATGCTCTTTTGGGGTGTGCAGCGGCATCTGTATAAAGTGAAGTGTCTGCTCCCAGGGTTGCAAAGCAGAGCCCCTCATTCTTTTCCCATCTCACCATCCCTCAAGCACGGGAATACCATTTCTCACAACTAACGCTGAGCAGGGCAGCACCTTAGACCAGGAAAACACTGAACTTAAAGAGGACGAGAAGCTGAAACCCCACACGGGTTTAGCTGCTGTGTAAGACCCATAGATGTTCCCATGCAGGGGCACGCAGCCCTGCACTTCCCTAGTGCCACCCGTGGTCAGATCAGGTGAGAAGAAACAAACGAACAAAACAAAAAAGGGGGGGGGGGGAAGAACTGCTTTAGTGAGACAGAGCCTCCCACACTGCTCTTCAAACAGTGAGAGAGAGACATGCGAGTGCAACGTCTGCTGCTAATCACTTGTCCTAACATGACCTGGGATTCACTGCAAGCTCCCAGAAGATGCCTTTAATGCCACTTTCCTTCAGTCCCAGGTCTTCCTTGGGGTCAGGGAGAGAAGGGGTTGGGGCAAAAGCTGCTCTGGCTTCTCAGCAAAGGACAAGGAGATGTCTCTTACCTAGAGCTAGGAAGCTGAAGACCCATTGAACCACCGACGCCATCTGAAGCCTTCTCTGCAGTGGCACAGAGAGCGGAGCAAACTCGACCTTCATCTTGGGCTCTGCGTGCACGTCTCGAAAGGAGAAGGAAGCTCCGCAAGTGGCGAATGCAAAGTGCAAAGTCGCACGTCAATATTTACCCAGCCTTACAGTATAGGGGATTGTGCAATGTACAGTGGCGGTGGTGGCTGCCTGCAGCCACCCTCCCGTATGGGGAGGAGAGGGACGCTGCTGAGACGTGGCACCAACTTTATGCCAACGTGACTCACCACGTGGTTAGACGGCGAGGCTTTCCTGCCTTTACCACCCAAATCTGGGAAGTAAACTCCCTTCAGATCCCAATCCTGCCTTCAAGTGCCTGTTCCTTTCAAATTGTGCAATATTTGGATGTTCGCAGAGAGGATGGGGCACTTGTGTGTGCGCGCCAGGCTTTATTTTCCCCATTCCCCTACAAACCACCCTGCGCACAGCAGGAAAGGACAAGCAGAAAGGACAAGCATGGGCAAGTCACTTGTATTTGCAACTGGTATGGTGTGGGTCGGTTTGTCTCAGCCAAGGAGGTGGGCAAACAGCGCGAGGGTGTTTCACTGCTGAGCACGGGGGTACACGAGCAACCTCACGCCTCTGCCAGGACATGGATGGATGATGGATGGATGGATGGGGCAGACAAGCATCCATGTGCATCCTTGCATAGGTTTATGTGGGTGTATGAGAAAGGAAATACTACCTCCCTTTCACATTTCTACCTCCAAGCAGGTTCATGGTCCGAACCTCTGCCTAGTCACATGCAAAGAGCTGCAATTTGCTGGATGGAAAAAAAATCAGAGATCTGGGGAAAAAATCCTCAGGGGGACTGACAAGCCGCTCAGGTAAACAAAGAAATCACCTCGTGAGAGGCCTGAGAAAACCAAGGGTCTTGCTGTAACCAGGATACAGAATAATACCGCTCACAGGCTGAATTAAACAATAAGCCGATCCACTGCTAAAGCACCAGCGCACATACAAAGGCGTCACTCGCTTGTCGAAGGGGCATTTCAAATCTCCGAAGAATTACAGAACAAAACTAAAAACAACCCTTGGCAAACGCAAATCAGAGGTGTTAGCTGAAAAATAATCCCTCCTCTTTGTCAGGCCCTAGGAAGATGCCGGGCTATGAGGAATTTACATCTGTTAGACTCCATTTTCCGGAGTCACTAGAAACAACAGGGCTCTGGTGAAACCCCAAGGGCTCTTTTCCTAAAGACACCGGTTGCTTTAATTGAGCTGAAACTGGCTTAGATGTCCCTTGAATCTCTCCCCATTCTTTGTCTTCTGCTGCAAATGTCAGGACCCTGTCTGCTTTGAGAAAGCAAAGGAGGCTTTTAACTCTTTCAGCTCTGTTGCCTGGAGACGAGATGTTTTCTGGTGAGAAACCACCAGCAATTTCCAAAATGCTGCGGGAACATCAGCAGGTCCAGGGCTCCTGCTCTCCCTGGGCTGTGCAAACCCCAGCACGGTCAGGGAGGTGCTCGGTGGGACCAAGGAGGGGAAAGTCCTTGCAGGGACATCCCTGGTCCAGGAATGAGGTTTCAAGGTGTTTTCCATCCTGCAGTTTTACACTCACTAGAGTCCAGCCATGCCAGGGAGCTCGTTTGATTTTTGCTAGTGCAAAGGGACACCCAGACACATGGGAAGCATTTTCTGCTCACAGAAATTTCAGGCTAAGCCCTGGAGCAGTCGTATTGCCAGTTCCCAAAGCAGTTCTATTGCAAAGAGTCTGAGCTATTTGCTTATGGCTTATTATGACAAGGAAAGCCCCGTGTTCTGGATTTATTATGAACGAATCGGGTCCTTGGAAGAGCTGACCAAGGAGTGAAGCAAGGCTCAGCTGGGTAATAAGTATTTATGTCCTGTTCTTCTGTGGATATGTCATTTGCTTTTTGACTTTCTATTTCCTTAAATCAGGAGAGAAAAATACCTACTTATGGAAGGCTTTGAAATCTTCTGCTTAAATTAGAGAGGGATCAGAGATTTCCAGACAGTCAGGAGGAGCTGAGGGAGATGCATCTCCCTGCTGTGTGTAGATAAAATAAAACCTGTGGCTTGTTTTAGGGAAGAGCAGAGCTGTGTCTCTGAAGTACTAAACTAGCTAAGCAGTAGGTGACATGCCCAAACACTGAGCCCTGATCTCTACAGCCTATGTCCTGATACCCAGGTCAACCTCCACAGTGAATTTATCTAACTTATATTAGCTAACTCAGAAAGAGGCAAATTGTTTTCTGCAGGTATTGGGATCTCTCCAAGGACAACTTTAATCTAGCAGGAGGGGTTGAAGGGCAAGAACCTGAAAGGCCTATTTTGGCCCAGCTTGGCACCTCAGACTACACCCAAGCCTCACACAGACACTCATTCCTCTGTGGGAAGCCATCTCTGAAGGTCTCACCTTGTTCTTTGCCACTGACATTGTCCTGCTCTGCTCCTTTTTTCTTGCTCTCTCTTCCTGTCACTATCTACATTCTGGCAGGGGAACTGCAGATGTGGGTGACAGACAAAAAAGGCGCATCCATCAGCTCTGGCACTAATTGCAGATAGGTCCTGGCCTCATCGTGGTCAACCCCATCCTTACTAAGGGTCTTGCTACTGTTGGAACATCCTTCACAACTCTTAATAGTCATGGGATCATCTTTGAGGACTGGAAGGAAGTAGAACCAAACCCAAAAAACAATCTCATGATGGAGATAGGCTGGTATAAAACCCATCAGGTCAAAATAGGAAGAAGGACTTCAGCTTTATGGTGACTTCACATGGGTCTGGGCTGGAAACGGAGAGGTGAAGAGTCATCCTGCTGCACCTGTGAGGGACCACCGCACCCTGCAGTGTCCTTCTAGAAAGGAACCGTGCTATGGGTATTACCTTACATCGCGTCTGTCCTTGTAGTATCACAATCCCCTTCTTCTTGCTCTGGGGGAAGTGATTATATGGGATGGGAAGGATTTCTACTGGGAAATGAGAAGATACAGATTTATTCCCAGGCTTTCTGTGTAACTTTCAGCAAGTCATTCAACCTCTACCTGTCTGGACTTGGGTGATGATTTGCTATTTGAGAGCAATGATAACAGTGGAGAAAACTTCACGGGCCCTTAGATGAACCTCTCCATGGCAGGACCTACCCACCAAAAGGCTCATCTAATTTCTCCTGAAGCCTCATGTTTCTCTGGTCACTTTTACATTTTCCTTCTCGTGTTTTCTTTGCTGACTTGGGTTTCAGTTGCGGATAGGCTGGGGTGGACGTTCTCCTTGGCAGCATCAGAGAGAGATCATCATTGAGCTGTGACTGCAGGCATGGCAGGGACCGCCCAGCACTGATCACTAGTAATCCCTACAAGTCCTATGTTAGCACCTCCTGGGAAATTTTGCTGCTATTTAATTTACCCTGATTGCTTAATTCTCACCTCAATGGCTTTAAAACCTCATTTTTCTCCATTTTTTGTAAGATTCTCACCATTTCCTTATTTCCTAACATACTCACGGGCTTGCACACATGTGGCCCATAATATAGCTCCAACTACATTCTCCTTGGCTTTTCCCTTCTCAGGTATTTATAGTCATTGATCCGCTCTCCTACGGCTTGCGTTTAGCCTGGGAACATTAAGTTCCTTTAATCCCTCAATAGGTCGTCCTCTGTAATCCCTTTATCAGAGGCCCTTGCAACTCCGTTGATCAATGTCCATCTCCAAGTAGGAGGAGGAACCCATGAAGCCCTGAGTCACCCAGCTGTAGGCTTTGCAAATCGCCAAGCTTTGCGAGTCAGCACGGTGGGGCGTGCTCATGGGATTTCAGGAGTGGAGCAGGTTGCACATGGAGACCTGGCCACGCTCCAGGATCAGGGCTGAGAAAGCCTAACACGGGGGACCTGAAGGGACGTATGCAAGGGGCAATGCAACGGCATGTACGGGAAGCTAAGAGCACTGCATAGCTGTCCTGCTTTGCCCTGCCAGGAGAAGATTTGTCATAGCTCCTTGCTGAGTCCCTTCTTGAAGCCCCACCACATGTAGACCCGATGGGACTTCATGTCCCAGTGGAAGAGCTGGAAGCTTTCTCCAGATCACTGCTCTTCTCTTCTAATCATAAATAACCCTCTTTTTTTCCCTAAAGCCTCTCAGTCATTCATATGTACTCCTAGAGCTTCCCACCAAACTGATTTCCCCACTAGTGGGCAAAATTATCAGAAGGAAACTGAAGGTATCTTTTTAGTAGTCGTTAAGTGGTTTCTCTGAGTCCCATTCCTTCCCGACCCATCACTCCGCCAGCAGTAAGTGTATCTCCCCTGCAAGCTCCTCTTTGCTGGGGATTGTCCCACCACACCAAACCTCTGTGATACCATTGCACCAAGCTTGATCTTTGTCTGCCCCCAGCTCTGGGTAAGAGCACTGGTGTGAGAGAAGCCCATTTTTGCCTGCTGCTATATTTTTTTAATACAAATTCTTTCAAAATGCAGTCTTTCAGATTTTACTCCCCCTTCTACCTGTTGCAAAATCACCTCTGAAGTCTGGCTGGTTTACGCCAGTGATTTTTGTTACAGAATTTCATGTCTTTTACAGTACTTGAATTATCAGTTGAATTCTTCTTTTCATGCACTTCAATTATTCTCTTTATGCAGCGCTGATATGGATTTTCTTTGGCTGCAGTCCCATTTGGCCTTGAAGCACCTTCCCAACATATATGAATCATAAACAAAGTTGACAAGGAAAACAAGAACACCCCAGGCAAACCCTCGTTCCCAACAGTTGTGTGTGATTATAAAATGATTTAAGATGTGAGAAGCCACTAAAAAAATCCCCTGTAAGTTGCCACCCGCCGTGTTGTCGTGTTCTCTCGTCCCTGGTGATACATGTTGGGGACAGGAGCAATTCAGACAAACGTCACTGGTGCCTGCAAAGCTGGGTGAGTGCCTGGGACAGCCCTGCCATGGCAGGGACGCAGAGGCAGCAGTCCCGTTGAAGATAAATCTAGGTAAATAGCGCTTTCCTATGTCTAACTGGGGTAGTGTGGAGTTGAACTCACTTCACTGGGGGGTCTCCAGATGTGGTCCAGGTCCAGCTTCGGAGCTGGAGTCTCATCTACCGTCAGCCCATGAAGCTGATGCCCAGGGTCCCTCTATAACGGAGGAGAAAGGCTCCAAAGGAGATATGGGGCTTATACCAGCCCCACCTTGCTATGATTTTTTTCTTCATTTTCACTTCATTTCAGCTCTTGCCAGTGATCTCCTGGGAGCAATGGGGTGAGCTGCCATCCCTTTCCTCTGACGCTCGCGGGGAGGTCGGTGATTAGCCAGGAGCCAGATGCCTCCCTTTGAGATGGCTACCATTGTATAGGGGTTTTTTTCTAAATAAAACCACCTTCCCCTCCTATAAGGTCTTGTACTGAGCTTTGCCACACCATCCTTACAGTGCCATAACATTATTTCTTACAATAGTTGGTGGATCCGTGTGTACGGGAGGCAGGGAGAACGTGTACAGACAGCACGTGATGAGATGTCAGCTGGGGGTCCGAGAAAACAAGCTGATCCCTCTTCGTCATCAGATCCAGCAGAGAAAAACATAAACCTGGGCGAGCTCTTACGGTGGCAGCATCCACTCACATCTTCTGGGCAGTAAGTGTGCTCTTCACGCCATCACGAAACGCAGGAGAGACTATCAAACCTGCCCCAGGATGGTCTCCAGTATCTTAAGTTTGACTGAAAGGTGTCCTGGCTTCATCTGAGGATGCCAGGAGAAGAAGATTCCCCAGGTCCCCTATTAATCAACTCCCAAAACGTCCCGGTTATCATTGCACAGGGGGTGCTTGGAGCTATTGCCTGCCTCCACGCCAGCAGATCCCAGCATGGATGGGACAGGGAACCACCGCCTGGGGTGTCTACCCAAAGTCCATGCTGATTTTGGGTGCTGCAAAATATCGGGCTCGCTCTGGTTCCCACCCCACCATGGTGCCCTCAGCATCACACCAACGTTGGGGCAGGATTGTGCCCCAGGCTGGTACACTGCGATGCTGAGTGACACTCGTGTCCTTGGCCATCCCCAAAACCAACGTCCCACCGTGTGGCATCACGCTCGACCGTGGCCTTTTCCCAGAAGAGGCTGGAGAAGGAGAAAGCTATTCCTGCTTTCTGCCGTGGTGGCTGTAATTTAAACACAGAGACGGTTTTATTTATTTAACTCCCTTCCTCTCTGAGAGAGGTTTGCAGCCAGCAAATCAATTTGCTGATTAGAGCTAATGGATTTTACTTGACGTAAGCTATTAAATTATTTCCATAGCTGATTCCTGAAAGTGAATGAGCGGCCATGCTTCAGGATTTATATATAACTATATGTTTCACTGCAGGAGACGCCAAGCAATTTTTTCCATTCTGCAGCTTCTAACTCCATCCAGGTCTGCCTGATATCTGCAGAGCAGCGAAGTCTCCTGATGCTGCAAAACCTCACAGAGCGGTTTTGCCCATGTCTTTTCTTACCAAAAAAAAAAAAAAAAAAGATGGGTAGTGCATGACCGAGCGTTTTTGTGTGAGATGAGCCCAGGCTCTTTGCAGATGGGGAAAGCTGAGAGAAAGGTTCAAAACCAGTTTGTGCACGTGGAAATCCCCAGTCTCCAAACGGGTGCAAGGTGCTGTGCAAACCCCAGCACTGCTGGGTGCAGAGCCGGGACACCCCTTAGCTCCCACATGGGAGCTAATGGGTTCGTATGGGCTTGCACCCACCAGAAACACACTAATATATTACCTCCCCCTTATATTAAAAGCAATTAATTACACTAACAGGTCTTAATGCAGCAAACCCCAAAACAGCGACGTGGATGCAATTCAAAACTTTTTCTGCAGGAAATACCCAAGCGTGTGCGGGGCCTCTGTGGGCATCAGATCTCAGACCAAGATGGGTTTTACGCCTTCAAAAATCACCGTGGCAGCTTTGAGATACATGCAATTACAGAGAGTATTTAAAAATAAGCACATCCTTGAAGTCCACCCGCCGACAAGCTTGATCCCACTGCAATTGCACGTCTGCCTTGCAGACCTTGGCTCACCATCGTGGGGTGACGCTTTTCCAGTTTTCCTTGTTGCCGTTCCCATATATTTCTTTTTTTTTTTTTTAATACCACAGTCCATCGGACGTAAAAAGCTGTTTACCGTCGTCCTGTGCAGAAAGCAGCGTGCGTGGAAGTGCAGGGCTGGGGTCTGACACCAGCGGTTTCGGGACGACTCTCTCACCTTTGCTGCACGACCTGGATGAGCCGATGGTTTTAAGTTCTGCACACGGAATGTGCAGTGCAGCAAGAGCCTTATAATATTGGTTCTAAAGGTAAAAATCAGCCTAAAAAGTGATTAGCGCGTCTATCATGGGTGCTGAGGAGCACCCACCATGCTTACAAAAGCAATACGCCGTGCACTGATGCCCCAGAAAATTGTGGCTCTGTCCCAACCTAGGAGATGCTCCAGAGCTTCCTAAATCTTTAATTATATTCACCCCTTTTAATTGCACTGGATGTAATAGCAGGGACAATATAATCCTTGGGGACAAAGCAACGCCTGTGTATAGACACCTCTAGGTGTCTTTTTTTTTTTTTTCTCCAAGGCTGCTTTTTCATTCAGCCATCCCTATCAACGAGGGCTCCAATCCCATCTGTAAAATGGGTTTCCACAATTTACCTACAGGTAAGAATGAAATTAAGCAAATCGAGGCAAAAACAAGCAAAAAAAAAAAAAAACCCAAAACCCAAGCCCTTAGGGTCCAAGACTCAATAAAGGGGATGCAAAACATTAGATTAAAGAAACAATCCCGGCAGGAGTAATCCTGCTTTTCACTGCGCTCCCAGCAGCTGCAGCCGCTGCCCGGTGGGAATTGGGTTTTCTTGTTGTAATTCAGTATTGGAGTGTGCGGATTTCGGAGGCAGCGGGATCATGGATTTTATTCATTTTATTATTTATTTTTATTGATTTATGTTCCCCGGTGGAAATGGCGGCACCGCAGCCACGCCGATAAAGACCCGCGAGCTTCGAGTCTGGGGTCTTCTTCATGGAGTTGGACCAGAAGGTGGATGGAGTTGGGCTGAAAATGGACTTTATTGGGTTCGCAGGATAAAGATGCAGGTGGAGAGGGAGGGGTGGAGGAGGGAGGATGGAGGATGGAGGATGGAGGATGGAGGGATGGAAGGATGGAGGATGGAGAGATGGAGGATGGAGGATGGAGGGATGGAAGGATGGAAGGATGGAGGAGGGAGGAGGGAGGATGGAGGATGGAGGATGGAGGATGGAGGGATGGAGGATGGAGGATGGAGGGATGGAAGGATGGAGTGAAGAAAGTTGGAGGGGAGCAGGCGGAGGCGAGGGCGGGGAGTGGGGTACGGGCTGGGATTTGGGGTTGTGGATCCACCCTGGGAGTGAGAACAAAGAGGCGGCCATGGGCCGGCCTTGGGCAGGGGGTCTTGGGTTGGTTTTGCAGCCGGAAGCCTGTAATGGAACATGAAAAACCAGCTAAAGTGAAAGAATGAAGCGTGGGCGTGTATGTGCACGGCTGCGCACACGCGTGTGGGTTTGGCTTTAGCCACAAAAACCCCACAGGGAGGGGAAATGGGCTCAGCCGGCCGGCAATGCCGCAGCTCGGTGAAGATCTGCGCACGCGTCTGTGCACGCGTGTGCGCACACGTGTGTATGGGGGTCTGGGTGTGTGCGCACATATGTGCTTGCACATCTGTACATCTGCGTGTATATATGTGTATCCGCACACAAGTGTGTCCGTGCACATAAATGTGTGTGCAAATCTCTGCACGCGTGTCTGTCTGTCGGTAGGCATAAATGCGCACACTAGCATGTATGTGTGCACACATATACATGTGCAAGTGTCTGTGCATGCGCGTGTGCATGCGTGTCCATCTATGTGCAAGTATGTGTATGCATGTGTCTGTGTGTGTACGTGTACCTGAGGGCACATCTGTATGCAGGTACGTGAGTGTGCGCACACGAGTGTCTCTGTGTACGCCTCACGTGTGTGTGCTGGTGTACACGTGAACATGTGTCAATGTGCCCGCTTGTGTTCCTGTTTGCACGCGTGAGTGCACGTGGGTGCAAACGCGTAGGCACTTGCGTCTGCGAGTGCGCGCGTGTGGGAACATACTAGCACGCACGTGTGTG